AACCATCCAGCCATAGATATAGATAGATAGATATGGTTCACACACAGAGAGATATAGTATCATAGATTTGAAAGGGACCCCTGAAGAAAGACAATGATACGTTGCATGTTCCAGAGTAGGCAAACTAGACACTCTCCGCATCAACACTGACAAAGAAACAGCAAAAAATACTGTTTACCCACAAGCATAAAGAAATTACATATATTCGAAACCAACACTTCCTCATTACTTTATTTTCCGGATCACCAGACTGGGCCACGACAACGCGTGGCAGGGGACAGCTAGTTTACTATAGTTCTACTCCGTTTTTCTCACCCCGAAGGGGACTCAGAGCGGCATACAGTTTGGCCACTTCAGTGCCTCATTGCAAATACACAGTGTATAAATAGAATACAATACAAATCAAAGCACAATGAACATAAAATACAAGACCAAAAGCACACAAGGCATAATAACATTCAGAAATAAATTATAATAAATATTAAGCATTAAAAATATTTAAAACCAATTACAAGTATTTGCTAACTTCACTCATCAGTGATAAACATGAGCCAGCGAGAAAATTAAGAGAAGTCTCCATAAAATAAAATCTATACAAATAAAAATGTAATGTTCATTTGTGGGCTTAACATAACTCAAAAACCATTGGACAAATTGACATCAAATTTGGACACAATACACCTATCAGGCCAACAAGTGACCATCACTCATAAAAACACTGAAAAACACAGCAGAAGGGACTTTAAAAGGCCCAAAAAGCAAAAAGATGCTATAGCGGTTGCACAAAAATGACTCCCCTGGCAAATAAAACACACAATAGCAAATCCACACTCTCTTCCAGACTACAGCTCCCAGCATCCCCTAGACCAGGCCCTTTAGGAGAAGAGGATGATCTAAATGTACTGCTTTCAAGCTGCAAGATTTATTCTCCTTTGAGATCTTTGAGAGCATCCCAATTGCTGCGTATTTCCAATTTCCTATTCCTGGACTGAAACTCCCAGATTAGATAGATTTATATAGGAAGGTAGGTAGATCGATCAGGAGGACTGCTGGGAGTTGCAGTCCAAGAATAGGTAGAGAAGGAAGAAAGGGGAGAAAGAGGAAGGGAAAGAAAAGGGGGGAAGGGAAGAGGAAGAGAATGAAGGAAGGAATGAAAGGTAAAAAGGGAAGGAAGGAAGGAAGGAAGGAAGGAAGGAGAGAGAAGAAAGTTGGCCACAGCAAGGCATGGTGGGTGCAGCTAGTAAATAAAATAAAATCTGAAAACAAAACAAAAACAAAAGTCCCCACTCAAGCCCAGGAGGAACAGAGTCGAAAGATGAGCGTAGGCAGAGAAGTCAGTGGCCTCAAACCAAGCCAAGTCCAGTTTCAGTACTAAGTTGATGGTCAAAGGGGGGCTGGTTGGTAAAATTCAGGCTATGGATAGCTAGTGGTAAGGCCACAGCATGGTAGCAGGAAAAGGTGGCAATGGTAAAGGAATATACTTAGGAATATACTTCTGGCATGTGCGAACTTCAGCCCTCCCTACCGCCAGGTGTTTTGGACTTCATCTCCCACAGTTTAGGAATGATGGGGCTTGAAGCCCAAAACACCTAGAGGACCCAAGTTTGCCCATACCTGATATAATTATTCCCCCTGTCAACGCTGTCAGGTAGTAAAAGCTGAGAAAATGGTCTTATTCCTGGATCACGTTGTATTTCTTTTTGTTATTATTATCAACTTTGGTCCCCTTGTGGCGCAGCAAGTTAAACTGCTGAGCTGCTGAACTTGCTGACCAAAAGGTTGGCGGGTTGAATCCTGGGAGTGGGGTGAGCTCCTGCTGTTAGCTGTAATGTGTTTATTAATAACATGTATTGTTTATACACCCACTACCCTGTTAGCCCCAGCTTCTGCCAACAATTGTTTTTAGATTGTATGATAAATATCTTAACTGCCCATTTTTTGAAGCCATTCTGGAATAAAGGTGGATATGAATTAAATCAATTAGTACTTGGCTTTGAAAGCCACTCCTAATATGGTCTGGGATAATACAAGCGTTTGACCATGTTTAGGGATTATGAATCACTATACTTTTAAACTTAGTGAGTGATCACTGTTGCACTTTATGAGAATGAATATTGCTCATAGCCTCTATTTTATATCTTGTTGGTTCTTTTAGTATTTTTAATTGATAGGGGTTTTATTGTTTTTTTAAATGTGTAATGGGGTTAATATTATTGTTATTAATTTAACTTTTTATATTTTGTTGTATGTTTATTTTGTGGCACTGAGTTCGTCCTGTGAACCGTGCCACAAAATAAACATACAACGAGATGGTGGGAGGAAACAAAGATGATGATGATTATTATTACAGGAAGTATTGTCCTCTTCCTGAATTGATTGATCTATTTGCCAGGTCTCCTATGATTATAGGTTAACAATTAGCTTCCAATTTGATTTCTCTAACACTTTCAGGCTTTCAAAAACTTTGACCATCTCGCTCGTCAAGATGATGAAAGAAGACAGCAAGAGCTGGAGGAAAAATTAAAGAAAAGAGAGGAAGACATGGCAGCTGCAGGAGAGAGAATGAAGGTCCCTGCTGTAGTGGAGGAAGTTGAGCTCAGTTCATCAGGAGAACATGACTCTACGCTGGATGGTGCAAAGGCTGTGGGATCACAGGATCCCATGCCCATAGAGGAGAAAGTTGAAACAGAAGCCACGGTTGCAGCAGTGGAGCCTCCATTGGCTGTTGCTGCTCCCGTAGAAGCCAAGCCAGCAGAAGTGCCCAGGTGAGTTGCTGTGATGATGCTTCAGCTATGTTGAATGTTTTGCCTAAGCTAAGGAACTGCAAAGGTTTAACCCTCTAATCTATTTAAATGTATTTTGATTGTTTTTAATGTGTTTTGTAATAATAATAAAAAAACTTTATTTATATACCTCTCCATCTCCCCGAGGGGACCCAGAGCGGTTCCCAAGTAATATCACAAAACATACAGAGTAAAAACAACATAACTATAAGATTAACAAACAAAATATAAACATAAAAATTGTCGCTATAACACACATATATTAAAAGTAATCCTGCCTGTTCAAGGCAATAAAAAATTTAAAAGGCCGGGCCAAGATTTGTGCAAGCCCAAAAATTCTAGGAGCCCCGGGAATTAAGTGCAGTGCTATGGCAGGCAACAATAATATTAGGTACAGATCTGTGGCTGTTCATTCTGGGGCTGATTAGAGGAAAGAATCTGGGTAACTGGTAGGAAGAATAAGGCCGTATGTGTGGGGCTGAGTTAAAACTGGTCATTTTCAAAGGCTTGTTGAAACCACCAGGTCTTCAAGCTCTTATGAAAGGAGGGGAGGGATGGGGCCTGTCTTATTTCCTTTGGAAGGGCGTTCCAGAGATGGGAGGCCACCACTGAGAAGGCCCTCTCTCTCGTCTCCCCAGAAGATCTTTTAACGTGTATATTATAAATAATTATTTGTAACATTATTTGTATTAGTAGTTTTTTTAAAAAAAATACTTTGTTTTAAATGGTTTTGACTCTTTAACCCTGTGTTGAGATGAAGATGGGACAGTCTGTATGCATGTTTATGTAGAAGTAAGCTCCTTTGAGTTTTGTTTCTTTAATGGAGCCAACTTCTTGCAGCAGTCCAGTTGTTTGTGGGCTCTGGATCTACAGATTCAAACACAACAGAAAAAAATATATTCAGTTTTTATTTCACCCCTGCACTGCCCAGTGGCCTTGCAAAAGAACAGTGACAGGAGCCAAACTCTGGTGCTCCTGTGCTGAATGTGAAGAAAGCACATTCAGCACAGGACAGGACAGAAGGAGGGTAGGCTGAGGCAACTGATGCTGGTGTGTATGCAAGTGAGCCCCAGTCCCCCACCTCACCCCGATAACGCCACCTCTCTGTAATCCATGCATATGCTAAAAGCAGTCCCTGCTATTGTGAGGCAGAGAGTGGGAAACTGTGTTTACTTCTGTCTACAAGTTTGGCAAATGAATGTGTGATTCTGTGAGTTTTGCAAAGACTGTGAATCATTTGTCTCTGCAAATCTTGCAGAAAGAGGCAAATGCATTCATAGTCTTTGCAAAGATAGGGTAAATGCATTTGCCTCTTTTTATAAGCTTGGAGGGCGCACACTTTCACTCTGTGAGGTTTACAGGGACGCATTTGCCTCTCTTGCAGGCCTGGTGACTGCTGTCTTGGCTTAAAAGAGTGTATTTATACACTACCTTGAGGGGGGAAGAGTTTGATACAGTTAATACAGATCAACTACTGCTGCAATTGATATCTACAGTGTTTGCCACTGGGTGGTGCTCGCATCCATTGAATGGATAATATAGGCTCAAAAGTATAGTGAAGAACTGGTGATCTCTCTGAGGCTCAAGTTCTGTGCTGAAAGCCTGGCCAAGAAGATGCTATGAATAATATACATTTTTGGCAACAAATGGGTGCAAATTGAGATTATGCAACAAAATTTCCGTCTCTCTTTGCCTGGAGACAAAAGACTTGTTCGCCTAGCTAATGTCCTAGTTCTTCCAAGTTTCAGCTACAGGGTAATCTGTCATCTTATAAACATTATCAATAACACGAATATTTTCCTTTATACTTTACATAGTCAGTGTTTTTAAATTCCTTGATGGTGTGCGTTCTTCAGATTTGGGGCATTTTAAAGAAGTACAATGAAATAGTTGACTGAAATATATATTTTTAGGAATAGAGTAGCCTATAGGAATGTTCTGTATATGTGTAGAAGTAAGACACCCAGGCTTAAGATTATGGAGGAATACACATGTTGAAACTTCTGAGTAAGTATGCATACAGATAACCACCTTGTTGCGAGATGTGCTGCTTCGTGACGTGATTTATAGTTCCCAAATCATAGTCTCCCTGAACTGCTGCAAGCTGGATAGCAAGAAGCAAGCAAAAATACAGCAGAGTCCTTTCACAGCAAAACATGTGCTTCAGCCCGTCTATCAGCAGAGTCCAATTGCTAGCATCTGACCTTACCTACACACTATTCATTAAGCTCACGGATTCTTGTTTTCATCCAAAATATCTAGAGACTTTAATCTTCACTGTTGTAATATATACAAATGTACAAACGGGACGCAGATCCACTTTCCTTATACTTGCAAACAATCAGAGTCATCAGATAGTCGTATCTTTTTTATATATAAATTTTATTAACAATTTTTTAAAACTGAAATATACATTAAAAAGAAAAACAAGGGGGAGCCTTTGGAAAGAAGGGGAGGAACGAGGGAGAGGAAGGAGAGGAAGAGGGAAAGAGAAAGGAAGAAAAGAAAAGAAGAAAAAAAACGGGGGGGGGGGGATAGGGAAGATATGGGGTATGGGAAAGTTAGGGAAACTCTGGGGGGGTGGGATCTTGGCTTCCCAATCTTCTTATCTGATGTGGTGTGTTCAGGGGAAGGCATGTAATTTCGTTATGCAATGGTTCATTAACAAAACTATTCTACGATCTACAGATACTCACAACCGAGTCACACAGGAGAGAGAAAGATGGATTCTTTCATCCTCCTTATATAGCCACCTGCAGAGAGGTTACCAGTAAGGGACATTGGCTGATGCAACCCCTTTGCAATAACCCTTGAATGGTCATGACTCTGCCATTATCACATCCCCTTAGGTCAGTGATTCTCAACCTTTGGGTCCCCAGATGTTTTGGCCTACACCTTCCAGAAATCCCAGTTAGTTTACCAGCTGTTAGGATTTCTGGGAGTGGAAGGCCAAAACATCTGGGGACCTACAGGTTGAGAACTACTGCCTTATGTATTGCATCATGACATTCACAGTCATTACCCAGGTGCTATCAGTCAACCACATGTTCATCAAAAAGTATTTTCTCCATGACTAGAAATACTGTGCAATTTCTATGTAACATACTTAACAAGTTAGCATGCAGTCCCACCATCACAGAAATGTAATGAACTATCAAATGAGCATTTAGCCTGGCATATGCGAACTTCGGTCCTTCCTCCCGCCAGGTGTTTTGGACTTCGTCTCCCACAGTTTAAGAATGATGGGACTTGAAGCCCAAAATACCTAGAGGACCCAAGTTTGCCCATGCTTGATATAATTATTCTCCCCTGTCAATGCTGTCAGGTAGGAAAGGCTGAGAAAATGGTCTTATTCCTGGATCCCGTTGTATTTCTTTTTGTTATTATTATCAACTTTGGGCCCCCTTGTGGTGCAGCAAGTTAAACTGCTGAGCTGCTGAACTTGCTGACTGAAAGTTTGGCAGGTTAAATCCCGGGAGTGGGGTGAGCTCCTGCTGTTAGCTGTAATGTGTGTATTAATAACATGTATTGTTTATACACCCCACTACCTGATAAAGGCTCTTGTGAGTCAAAACACCCAGGAAAACTCCCAGCAATATGTCCCTAAACGCATTTTATTAATGATCTAAGATTGTCTGCACATTTCTTCCCTCTCCAAAATTTCTATCCCAGTTACATGTCAACTTGTCATGCCCAGCATGATTTTTAATTTTTTTTAATTATTACATTTGGCCCAGCCATAGGCTTTTTAAGCACGCTGTGTTATTGTTAATGTTTTGCTTATTTTTGCTTATGAGTTTTTTTTATTGTTTTGTATTATTGTTGTTATTGCTTATTGTTGTATTGTGGGCTCAGCCTCATGTAAGCCGCACCGAGTCCCTTGGGGATATGGTAGCGGGGTACAAATAAAGATTATTATTATTATTATTATTATTATTATTATTATTATTAAAACCAGTTAATGTTGGAGTCTACTCTTGTGTAATAAAAAATAGGACATTTGCTGTGTAAGGATTTGGAATCTACTCATCTGTAGTAAAGACATAAGTACCATTTCCACTCTCGTGAAGAATAATTTTTTCATCTTTTGAGAAAATAACTATTTATGTTAAATGTGAATGTAACAATCCAGTAGTTTTACTGACATTTGTATTTGTATGTATACCTTGAGCTTCAGTGTGTTTGGATACATTTAAGCATTTAGTCTATGTTTGATGGCACGATAGAGAAAACATAATTTTCAAAATGTCATTAGACTCTGATTCTCATTATCCTTTTAAACTTTTTGGCTAGGCCTACTTGGTATTCAAGTTTTGACATCATTTAGAGAGCGATATGTACCTTACCCTTTACTTAATATCTTACATTATCTGCATAATCTCCATGCAAGAAAGTATTTGTAAAATATTGCTCTCCTGGAAGGGAGGTAAATGTGTGTGATATGTCACAGGATACTGTTATAATGAGGGTAAGTCTGTAGTTTGTTTGTTGTGCATGTCTTGTAAGGAGAAGGCTTACCCAGGGGACTGACACAGTAGCTTTCAAATCAAAGACCATTTGCCTTCACTGGTCTTCTCCCTTGTGAACTTGGCAAGCCTGAAACAGAAGCATGAGTTCAATTATAGTCAATATTAGCAGATATTTCTTACTTTCCATGCCAGCAAGTGTACTATAACTTGGCGGCTGCACAATAGCATCTCATAAACACAGAATCGATATGGCACAGTCTTTTCTCTTTCTCCTCTTACAGTTCCAATTAGTTTTGTAAGTCCTGGCCATGTTTGCTTAATGTAAGGAGAAGTTGCTTCAATGCCCTTGGTAATATTTCCCAAGGCTTTTAGGTTTGGCTTGTATTTATAAAAGATCACTTGCAGGACCTGATTGCTACTTGATGTCTCCCAATCCTGAAGGACTGGAATAGAGGGAAGAGCTTTATTTCGTTGCCATCTGGTTAGTGCAGGGCTGTGAATTCCACCTATTTG